TTTCAAGCTGCGTGGGGTTGATGTTGGCTCGCTTTAGGAGGTCCCTGCTGTAATCCTTGAGCCGCCACTTTTGCCCCCCAACAGAACGCTTTGCACCTCTCAGTTGGCCATAGAGGATCTGGCGGGGCAGACGGTTGTCGGGCATGCGAATGGTGTGTCTGAACCACCGAAGATGTTTCTTCGCCACGGCCGCTTCCATGCAGATGGAATTGGTGCTTTCAAGGATGTCTGTATGGGGAACTCGATCTTCCCAGGACAGGCCAAGCATCTTTTGCAGGCAGTGGATGGTACAGACTGGAAATGGTGTCCAGGGTGTGCTGCATAGAGTTTGAGCTGTGAGCTAGTATAGTGCAGTCATCAGCAGACTGGGGGGCACCCATGACGACCTTCTTCTGGCAAGAGTTGCAGGAGGCTGCCAGTTGTTCGGTCTGTTGGACTCCGCCTGTGCCGGTTTGGGATCACTCTTTGTCTGGCCTCTACCCTTCGACCTGTTCGGCTTGGGTGACTCTGCCAGGAGTACGGGACTCCTGCCGACATCACAAAAGACACACAGGTTTTCCAGCTACGTCCATGAACATGTACTCCGACCTCCGACTTGTTTGAAACCCCCGGTTCTCAGTGTCCACCTTCCGTTTTGCCAATTTTGATGGGTATCTGAAAGCTAACATCACTGTTATGCGAACGACTGCTGCGCTAATATTGAAAAAAAAAAAGCGTCCGACTGCTTGGCGCGTCGCTGTTGCATTGTGGGAAATGTAGTGTTGGTGCGTGTAAAACTACACCCATGGGGCCCGGCCGGGCTCAGCCCAAAGAGGCAACGTGGGTCCTCCTTCTCATGGGCTCACCACCCATGGGAGTGGCCAAAGAGTTCGGGTGCAGTGTGAGCTGGGCGGCAGCCGAAGACAGGGACCCTGGCAGTCTGAGCCTCAGCGACAGAAGCTAGCTCGAGGGATGTGGAATGTCACCTCTTTTACAGGGAAGGAGCCCGAGCTTGTGTGCGAATTAGAGAAGTTCAGACTGGATATAGTTGGACTTGCCTCGACACACAGCCTGGGCTCTGGTCCCAGTTCTCTCAAGAGGGGTCGGACTGTCTTTCACTCTTGAGTTGCCCACGGTGAGAGACGTAGAGCAAGTGTGGGCATACTCTTTGCCCCCCGGCTTAGCGCCTGTACATTGGGGTTCACACTGGTAGACGAGAGCGTTGCTTCACTCCGCCTTTGGGTGGGGGTGAGGGGGTCCTGACTGTTGTTTGTTTGTGTGTACGCACCCAAGAGCAGTTCAGCGTACTCACCTTTTTTGGAGTCTTTGGAGGGTGTGGTGGTGAGTACTCCTGCTGGGGACTCCCTTGTTCTGTTGGGGGACTTCAATGCTCACGTGGGCAATGACAGTGAGATCTCGAAGGGCATGTTCGGGAGGAACGGCCTCCCCGATCAGAACTCAAGTGGTGTTTTGTTATTGGACTTCTGTGCTTGTCACGGATTGTCCAGGACAAACATCTTTGTGAAAGTGTGTTTACATATGCACTGTTATAACCTACTTCTCGCGGTCAGTGAATTACTTTTTTCATTTAATTCATTTTACTTTAATTACTTTTACTTTAATTTAATTTATTTTATGTACAATTAATTAATTAATTGATTGATTGTTACACCCACGACCGCTTTCAGGCTCCGGAATAAAAAATAAAATATGCGAAAACCAGGAACAATTGTAAATTGCACAGCCACCTTATACCAGTTGCATATATGCTTTTATGTATATCTATATCTATATATTATATATCTATATTTATATTGACTTATTTCTATGTCTATATTTATATTTCACTTATCCTGAAACATTTATTTTTGTGCATGCAAACACTTAGTTTTTCTTCTTTCTACCCCCCAATTTTGCTGCTGTAGACTGCAAATTTCCCAAGTGTGGGACACATGGACGTAATTTTCACTCACATACACACCCATAGTATAATAAATTCAGTGTGTCTTCCACAGCCCTCACCCTTTAGGTTGGATTCACCTCTGTATTAGATTCCCATTGAGAAGTAAATTAGAGGGTGAATGGGGAGATCATTGGGGTGACGTACAGAGAACTGAAACCTCACGCTTCTCCTCGTTTCCCCCTTTGAGTGATTGGTACCAGAATCCAGTGTGTCCTCTCCTCATTGGGTCTTTATTATGAATGTCTAGTTCAGTGTTTTTCAAACCCTGTGCTGTGGCAATTGTCAGGTGTGACGTGGGAAATTATCCAATACTGTATGTATGTCTGTGCGGTCGATCGTCTGGAAGAGTAACCATGTAGAACTCTTCCATACTGGTAGGAAGCAGCAGCAGCGAGGAAATTGCCTTACGCTTCGAGACAAGCGAAATTTCCAATTCGAGGCAATACAATGAAAGGTATCTTTCATTTAGATTTAC